AGCAACAAGAAAATCACCTACAATGGCCCGACAAAGCAGTCCGAAAGGCTTTAAGAACTATTCACTTGGTCCGTCAGACGTAGCTTTCAATTGTAAAAGGGTCTTGGTTTAACACCAAGCATGCGGTATGCCTTTAAATAACAGCACCATAGCCTCTTGTATAATTGCGTAAAGACAGTAGTAAAGTTACTTAGACCAATGATCCTACGAAATTAACATGGAAATCAGGCTTGCTAATATCTAGTCTTAAAAAAGGGTTTCAACTACAATCAAATTTTTAAATTTAATTTTTGAATACGATGGTAAATCTTTTCAAACATCATATGGTTAGATATTACTAAAGGCACTAAGTATATAATCTACTATGTATTTGTAGCCAGTCAGAAGGGTAAAAACAAATTTATAAATTATATTTTTTCATAATATTATGATCGATACTAAAATGAGTTGTAACATAGAATGTCTCTCCTAATACTAACATTTTAACTGAATAAAATGTCCAGGAACAAAATATTATGCAGCTATTTTAGGTAGGTAGTTGACATTTAGCAATGATTTTCTGAATTCGCAAATAACTTTAAAGGAAATATACAAACATGTAAGTTCATACAGGTATTTTGGAAGTTTTCTTTTTCAAAATTTAAAACAATAACTTTATAATCTAAAGGCAGCAGATATATATTTCTATAGGATTAAACACTATTTGAAACTGCTTTAATATGGCTATTTTATTAAGATTGGTTCTCTAGTTGACACTGATTTTGCATGAAGTTGAAGTAAAATAATTTTGCAGTGTGTTACATTAGACTGTTAAAGTTGTAACCAAAAGTTGTATCAGAAAGTTTATTAATTGCAGAAATTTATTGATAGTGGTTTATTTTAGTTAATAAAAAAATGTATTTAATAAATGCTATGGTTTGTGCTGGAATTCAAAAGTAACTGGCGAATGAAGAAATATAATCATATGATATCAGCCTCAGATGTAGGAGGGACTATTGCTCTCTTCTTCAAAACGTAACGCCTTTTATATTAATTAGAAAATACATTATAAACCTGAAGTAAATAAAGAACTTTAATTATAATAATTGCTCAGTTTATTTTTTATCTCGTTTAAACGTTTATTTCATTTCCTATTTTGAAAAAGAGTTCTTCATGCATTTTTATAAAAGACATCAACTACATATATGAAAATATTACTGAAAAACCTAAAAAAGATTTTTTTTATTGCTATACCGGTATATTAAAACATCTATTTCAGAACTCATTAACTTAATCCCTTGTTGATCTTTCGTTTAATATTTTGAAATTCATTTCATATTTATTTTATATATTTTAATTTTAAAACCCCCAGTTATTTCCAAGTCAGAAACTCACATAAGCTTCTTGATATATTGAACATGATTAGTCTAAATGTTTTTTTTTTTTTGGAATAAGGTATTGAAAGAAATAGGAAATATTTAATTTTAATTAACAATATTTTATAATATATATGGCGTTCTTTATATGATGAGGGTTAAATGCACCAGCTGCTGCAAGATCTTTGCTATTTTTTATATTTCTTTTTTCGTGCATGATAAATTTCATAAGCGAGAAAATTGCTTTCTAATTATTAAAATTTCTCTAATTAATATTGGTAAATCATTGAAAATATTAACGACAATATCATAATTCAAAGGCGCGCAAAATAACTTGATGGAACTTTATTAAATATAGCTCAATGTTTTCTCCAAAGTATTATTTTAAATTCTACTTAAAAGTGGCCTACATGATTTAATTAAATTTATCACTAATATGAAATTTTGAGAAGTGAGAAAAATAATGTTAATAAGAAAACATCTTGCAACTTACGAAATTGCTTTAAAAACGAGTATATTAAAATTGTACAAATAATTAAGTTTCGTTTCTAAGCATTTTTGAAATATACCAAACAAAATGAATTTAGGCTTTGAAGCCGGCTGTGTTTTGTTAGATTATTGCTAGAAATATGGAATTACATAAAAAGAAACTCAAAGTGCAAAGAACAAGAACCTATACGTTAACACGTTTATCTGTCTCTTTGAAATTTTGTAGATTAAACCATAAAAAGGATGAAATGATAAATTTCTAATAGAAACTACTTAGAAAATAACATTTCCTTGCATATCCAGTTTCTTTAATTAACACCCATTTAATTTGATAAACATCAGTGCTTTTAAACTTTATATTCATTTTGAAACTTAAAATAACTTGATACTTGATATATATCAAAAGCTTTATTAAAAACGAAATGCTTTAAATATTAAATAATTTCAAGAACATGTTGAATATTGATAGAAAAATAAACAATAGATTAAAGGATTTATAAAACCAAAAATGAAGGTGGATACGTATGTTTTATAACATTAACAATTTTTTTTTCGAAATGACGCTGGATGATCTTATATTTTCTGACATGCAGTGTTTTTTTATTATATTGGTTAAAATGAATTATTAGTAAAATGGGAACACCAAGATATGGATGAACATTTTTATGACACTTATAAATGGAATAGCCTGTTACATACATTTATGACGTATACACAAGTAAAGCTTGGCCAAAGTAAGAACAGTGAGATACAGATTTAGTGTTAAGATATTAAGACTCTATTAAGATAGTGATATAATTATATAGAAGTAATAATTCATTTTTTTTTAATAATACTAACAAAACTAGCGTTGTTCACGTCATACAATAGCAATCTACTATGAACATTTAATCCCGCTCAGAATTGTTTCATTTTTACTAAATTATTACCATTGCAGATGAAAAGATTTATGAATATGTTGCCTGTATTTTAATAATATGTTTTCACTTTGAACTAGTCTATTTTTACTTCATATTTTTCATTCTTTTATTAATATCTGCCAATATAAAGATTTCATTATAGCAGACCTTTTCCTTCCTGGATATGCCTTCGTTGTTTTCCAGTATCTGTATAATCTTTACTGACCTTGTTTTTATTGTACCTACGTAATTGTTTTTATCATTTTAGGTTCATATTTCCTAGACAGAGACAATCAAATTTGCAGTTTCCAATCTAAATATGATCCCCTTTTTTGCAGCATATATCATGGAATTGCAGAAAGGTAGATGTAATTTATATAGGTTTATTGTGATATATTGATACATAATACCAGAAAACATGAACTAGTATATCAAAATTACTAAGGCATATAGCATTGAAATTAATTATCATTTAAATACTAAGTGGAATATTGCAGAAGCAATTTATTGTTAAGAAAACCATTGAAATAGTACGGAGCAGGTGTCTCCTGTTTTTCAAAACAACCAAAGTTAGAATAAAGCATAAAATAAATGGATTTATAAGAATCTAATACTATAGATAACAATAATGATAATAAGAAAACAAGACAAAATTAGCCAACCTGAGCAAAACAATGATGTGATATTAAAACGTTAAAAAGTCAATTAAAATAAAGTATATACAACGCACGAATTGAAAAAAATAACTTAATATCATTTTCATTTGAATCGTTACGGGCAAATGGGTGTTACATCAAATTTCGCACCCGGAAGGATGAACTGAGATTTTATATGCTGATGTCATTTATAGGCTCGTGCAATAATTTTCCCCATACTTTTAATGGCTATGAAATTATTATTTTTATTTTAAAGTTGTCCATTTTGATATCTATGAGTAAACGATGGAATAATCTATACAGTGTACACACAACTGTGGTTTGAAATTGGCTGTCATATATATCAAACTTTAACGATAAAAGGTATTTAAACTACACGCCTTATGATGCCCTACAAAATTTCAAAAGCTCAAATGGAAGGAAAATATTTTAGTAGTGAAAGAAATTTATAAAAATGTTTACAAACCTATTGGCACATCAAATGTTAAATGCAAAATATGTCAGATTTGCTACCTTCATAAAAATATGTCTTTTACGTTATTAACAGAGAATGGGCTGTTTCTGCGTAGTTCAAACATTAAGTTTAGTAAGTGCTTTTGTCAATGTTAAAACACTTTACATTTTGTTTTCATTTGACGACATTTTTATTAAGCAGAACATATATTTTAATATATACACAACTAGTACAAATTCGGAGAGGTACTGCTTGAAAGGTTTCAAACATCATGGTAAAACAACAACTTAAAGTAAACCTAAATGGACAGTAAGAATCTGGCAATATTTTGTTAGGAAATACTTCATTACGGATGATTGGTACACATAATGCAAAACATCAAAAGTCTAGGAATAAGTATATACACACTCTATTCTGTTTAATAGCTACTCATCAAGAATTTTGCATGCTATAAATCAAATGGAGAGATGTAGGATTATAAATATATAAAGTTTATCATAATTGTTTGAAATGTATATTAAAAGATCATTACATAGCTCCAAAGGCGTATAATTTGAGATAATTGGGACAGTCATACTTGAAAAATATAATTAGAAATAGTTTAATGACATTGTTTTTGTGTAACATTTTATAATAAATCTAATTCAATAAATAATTGCATTATATGTTTTACTGACAACAACAGCATATGCGCCTGATTAAGGTTTTTAAGCTGCTGACAACTAAGAAAGCTACGAAATGGCTACACAAGTTGTGTATTAAGTGTACCATGTCTCTAGGGAGAGCACTACAAATTGCCTACAGATGTCCATATAAAATATGTTAATCTTTCAAAGCATTCATATCCATATTTACAAGGACATTATATTTATTATAAGTAAATGACGTCATGTCAAAATATATGCACGGCCGTGCTATACTGTATTTTTGCGAAGCACGGATATTTATTTAAAAATATGATAAAAATATAGATAATATATATTGTAAAATTTTCAGAATCACAATAACATTGCAAAGGTACATACAAATCACTTTTATCTTCTTTATAATTTACCATTCTATCTCTAAAATCGTCTTAAACATAGATATTTTAGAAATCATTATATATATATATAAGACACTCGAACGACACTTTGTAAATCTTGAGTCGACTAACCATTTCTTAAGATAGTCTTTAGTGGAATGGTAAGTTTATTTATGTACCACTTGTGTTATGTCTAAACGGTAGCGGTGCGAAGGCTGAACAGTGTTGCAAAGCCTCGTGTAATTGTGTTAATGACCTTTGTGAAGCATCCGGGTTGGCTAAAACCATAGAAGACCCAAAGCAGGATGTAGATGGAGCGAATATAAATTTCGGATCGCGTCCTTCCGCCTGTTCAGTTCCTTGATTTGTCGTCTGTTTTGTTTGGTTATTTCTTCTTTCTCTTGCACGACGGTTTTGAAACCATATTTTCACCTAAGAGGTATAAACAGATAATACGTTTAAAAGTATACAATTTAAGAAAAGAAAATAACAAGTCAAATATTTTATTGGCCACATCATACATATGTTACTTGTCAAGTTTCATTTGACGGTATAATATACATTGCAGAAAAAGTATGATCGATTTAATAATACATGTATATCATTATTTATCAGTGTTTAAACAGTGTATATATTATATTAATTTAACATTATAAAATGTTAAAGTTCAAATCTAAGCTATACAAATTTTGCTAACTGAACAATTACATTTTAGGTTGTACATTCTTTTATTGGTACGAATTTATTCATATTAGACAATAGGCAATAATATATAGGTAAACCGTGTTTCTTCAATTCCTTATAAAATATAGACAATCTAATGAAAAATAATTATGCTTTTGGTACATCAACGTTGATTTTATTCAATATTCGTATATTTTCCCTCTCCTATAGCTAATCTACGTGAAGAGCAATTTAACCTTGATAGCATTTACACATCATAAACACTTAAATGAAGCATATACACTTTTATTTGCATGTTTTATTATTTTATTAATAACTGATATTGAAACCAAAATGTGGTGCTTTTATCTTTTCTGAACCCATAACAGAAAGAAAACGTTCAATATTTCATTTCTTTCAGTCCATTTACACAATCGCATTTAAAGCAATATTGAGAAAAAAATAGAAAATATCAATTAATTAAATGCTTAAAAGTTGATACTTTGGTTTATTGTCTTAAGAAACGTAAGTTATAATAACATAGAATGATTGAACCAGGAGTACATATTAATTTGTTTAAGGCTATGATTTGCTAATTTTATTCATTATTTTTATCATGAGAGCGATGCGTTTATTTTGACATGTCCCTTCTGTTCAGCCGTTTAACCGTGTTTATATGACCCGCCCTCCGGCTAACCCCACCCTCTTATTATACCTAATTATCACCCAGGCCAGTGATATTTGGCTATAAACATGTCACAAGACACCAAAAGCATTTTTCCACGAGCTGAACGGGGATTATAATTTCATAATAATAGACATTTAATTAGAATTTGAAAAACTCCAAACGCAAAAATGAGATTAAAATGGTCGATGTTGCTCCATCAAATTATCCCAGTCCTGATATTGGCGAAATATAAAATTTGACACCCTGTGCATGTGGTTTAATTTCATTTTAGAAATTAGACATAACGGAGAAAGCTATAATTTTCTTAGAGGTACCAAGTGTTCTTCCGTCATATCAAATATCGTGGAAACTTTCTTAATCAGTGTGGCAACATATGCTTTAATTTGAAAATATAAAATTATTTCTATGAATAATACATTCAGTAACCATTTTTCTTGTTGAAATAATACATTCAAATACTTTTTTGTTGAAATCATACATTCATCATTTATTTTTTTCGCAGTATCGAAGAATTTGAATATTCGAAGTGAATAAAGAACAATTTTAAATATATGTTATCTCAAACAAGAAGATATTAAAATGTCAGTAAATTATATCATTTGAATCAATATGTAACATATATTTATACATTTTTAATAACAGTGCCGCTGTTGTCACATGATATATTTACTGCAATTGTTTAAAATTTAGAATCTAAACCTGACTGGAGTTTTAGTTTTGTACTCATCGTCTGTCTTTTTATATAGTTCCTAAAAGTATTGAAAAATTTCAGTTTAACTAGATATCAAATGATATAATGTGTACGTCCCTTGATAACAAGAAAACTGTTGGGAAAACTTTTAGTAACATATTTTAAAATCACATAATTTAGGAATTTACCTTTTAGGCAAAATGACTAAGTATCTCATCTTATGGGTTCAATACGATTTGATTTGAATTATCTTGATATTATTCCATTTTTCCTCTCAAAATACATACTAGTATGTTTTACATGCTTTATGTAGTTTATTGTACTGTTATTGTTTCTTCACTATTTTACTTATCAATATAATTGAAATTCTTATAAACAGTAACATGGATTACTAACTTTAACCGTTATTATGAGCTTTAAAGGTAGTAAAAACTTAACAACTATGCCTTTGAATTCTTTACTTTACAATGAATACCCTCGCTTTAAAAATCGTCTTATTTTGATGAACAGAAAATGAGTACAGGTAATCTCTTTACGGTATTATTGCAGACGTACATTAGTTAATATTGTAAAAAAACATTGTAGGTCAGGGTTAGTCAAGTCTGCTATCATTGACGTCTAAACCCTCACTCTTACAAAAGTTACGATTCCAAAATACATGTATAAAATAGTTAATATGATACAGAACTTACTAAATGTAAGGCATATGAAGAGTAAAATATTACTCCTCCCATTGCATCCATATACAGATTTTGTATATTTTTTATATTTTTTTTCTTCAAAATTAATACCTTTCCAAGAATCATCTTAATTTCTACAAAAATTTATTTCTGAAACAAAATTTAACTTGTCACTGCAAAAAATGAATGCATCAAACGAAATAAAAATAATTCAATTATAAACAACCGATAAGCAGAATGATAAGGAGCATCTGTTGAAGGGATGTATATTATCAAATAGCTGAATAAAGTAAGAGAAAAGAACACTATTAAGCGACAATGAAATGGGATTGTATTGAAACGAAGACGTTTTTGTTGTGAAGTCAAGCTCGTAAAAACAATTCATGCCTATAATCAAATTCTGATTAACCTGGAAAATACAGTCAATTGATACTCCGAAAATAACTTAGTATTGAATTATTGTAGGGAAATATTCAATTGTGTTCTCCTCTTAACATCATTAATTTTTTTTGTTCTAATGTTCACGATTCTTAAATATCACACGCGTTTGAGAAATAAAAGCAATAACCGTAGAAAATAATTGAGTTTACTGAGTAGTCTAGCGGCAATTTCTTCGTAAAAATATCGGACTTGAAATTGGCATGATTGAAGATTTTGTTTCCTATCAACTAATTTTACTTCTTTATATTCTGCGCACCTGAGCCTGTTCGGCACATCTTTAAGATGACATTATTGACTTTTTCAAGATAATAAACGTCTAAAACAAATGATAATGACGTTAAGTTACTCAAAACAAAACCCTCTTTTCTTCACAATTTAAGATCATATATACACAGGTGGCAGGGACAGGTTAAATTTTCACTAGCATTCTTCTTCATTATATTCTTTCGACACTACAATATAATTTTGATTTAATGCATTGGAAATCTTTTGAATATAATAATAAATCTGACTTAGTATACTTGTTTTGAAATAAAAAAAAAGTGATGTTTACAGTTAAATTTTAATAGTTTTTTCTCTTTAATAAATGTGTATTTTCCCATTTTAAATGTTATGCAATTTTTTTTTCAAATTATTTATGATATTTCATATATCTACCCCTCATTTTTTCATGATTTATTTCTTAAGGCATATGTATGGAACTTATTTTTTATGATTTATTTGTTGAGGCATATGTGTGGAAAAATATTTATCTTTGTTTTATTTGAATTCATCCAAAGTAAGACTGATATATTTATACGTTAAATAAAATTAAAAAAAAATTATAACAAAAAACGAATGTCAATGCATATCCGCCTAACTTAGCATTTCATTAAGATATAAATTGTTTCTATGAACATGCCTCAAGAAGCATTTTTGCTTGATGTCTTTTAATGAAGTCATAAAATGTAGATTAATTCTGATATAATGCAATAATGATAAGACAGCTATAGTTGTGATATGCACTAATAAATATGTAATTGACTATAGATATACATAATGATAGATTTATTGGTTAGTTTGAGAATATTTTACCATGTTATCAGTGTTATTACTTTTATCAAATTCAAAATGGATTGCATGGCTTTATTCATTTTAACTGTTTAAGTAATGAATTGCTTTAAAAGATGAAAAATTAATCCTGTTAAAAGTTACAGAAGTCGTCAACGAAAAACTGATTTCTTCACTTTTCAATATACTATTTGAATAGAAAAGTTCAAAGTGTATTGGCATTCAGCAAAATCATTAGCCTTTGGCCATTTACGAATATATCATTATGGCAAAAGACAATACAGGTGATATAAATACAAGCATAAATATATGCACAATAATAATATGTACGATCAGTAGACATTGATAAGCAAGATTATATATACGTAAAAATAAAGCATTCGTTATGAATTTTGTAAGATTAAATATGGTATTCATATTCTTTGAAGGCATTAATTTATTAATTATTTGTAAAGATGAACATAAGAATTGGCCTAGACATTTTGATCTCAGATCTCTGTATATTAGACAACATAAAATAAAATGATATTCATTTTCAATTTAATTTTGACAACATATTTTAAATTTCTTATATTTCTATCAACATTGTTGTATCTACCAGTTTCTACCCCAAGAACACGAGAGTCAAGTCGTATTTTTGTTACAGCTTTTCTCTTATTATCGTTAAAATAATATCTAGATATTTTTCAAATTCAAAAACGGTTTTATAATTACAATAGCTTTCCTATTTGGCAGAGCCGAAATACCGTATTGCCAGTCTTGGATGAATGGCCTGTTATCCTATTTTTGAAAATATTAAAATAATTCATATTACTAATCTTATATCAGTAAAACTTTTTGCCCAACATATACCGCTAATATTGTCACAATATGATATATACTTGTAGTCAAATCGTTGTTTTTCATCATTTTCAGCCAAAACTTAACGGGTCGTTCTTTACAAGTAATTGACAAAGAGCATCGGCCCAGCTCAAATGAAACAGCATAATTTGGTGTCTGTTTTTAACCATTTTAATATATTTACAAAATGTAAGATGTAGCTTATCTACATCCTTATAATTATATACACCCCATACTTCACATCCATATGTTAAAATTGACACAATCAAACAATGATACCTATTTGAATAAAATGGTCCATAAATTCAAGTATATTCTGGAAACTTGTGTCAGTAAGAATCAAGCTTACAAATTATCACTCGATAAATTGATATATCAAATATGGTTTCAATTTTGACTTGAACTTACAGACATTTCAGAGTAAACATTCCTTCATATTAACAGAACAATTGTGTGTTGTTTTTAAAAACTGACTACAAAATAATAGAATTCAGATAAATCTAACGGAGTTTCAATTTAAATATTTCGTTCAAATCTGTTGCTCAAAGACGGTATTTATCAAATGACAAATTATTTAAGTTTTCCACTGTTCTATTTGGTGAAAAGAACGGAGCTTAATTAATTAGATATTTATATGATACCACACATTTTGAATTGTAACTTACATCATTTCATTATATGTGAACAGTTAATATCAGACTGATGATGAATATATATCAGATATACTGATATATTGAATAAGAAAATTAATTAGTCGCTGAATGTATATCAAAATATTCAAAGCATATTGTGTATGTCTCTGTTCTAAAATTTCCTACCTATGATTAGAGATATAATGATTATTTTGTCTTCAATTTCTTTCAAAGCAATTTTGAAATCGACAGAGAACGAAGAAAATCTTGATTTAGAATGTTTTTTCTTTATAAAGTTATTTGTTGGTTTGTCTTTATCTTATTCTACCAAGAAAAATTGACTAATCCAATACTCCGTGGTCATATATAAGTTTATATGATTTCAATAATATATATGTTTGATATCTTGAAACTGCATATACTTTTGAAATTAATTTGTAGTTGACTTTAGACTTGTTCAAGAACTTTTTATTATATCTTTTATCAAGCTAGGTAACTTCAAACACTCCATGCACGTTACGCACGAAATTCAGTACTTTAGTATATTTTTTCCTCAAATATATACGTATATCTGTTAGTGCGGATAAAACGAAATAACCTACATTGCTTTTTGAATGCCGACGCTTTCGTTCCAAACGTTATTTTTCTCCTTTCGTTTTTTTTCTCGTTTTTTTTTAATATATGAATTGACATGTATTATATTTGTAAAATGGTTATATGTACCGTTTATATTTCGGGAAATTAACATGTTTAAACTAAAAAGTTGACGAGAATTAAATGTACCCATAAATATCAGTTTCGATGCTTTGTTTTGTTTATATTTATTTCTTTGTTTTATATATTTTTTATACTAAATGACTCATCGATTAAATCTCTTTATCTATTTTATTGTAAAAAATAAATACAATATCAATCATAACTCTAGCTATAAAAATATGCAACCTGACGTCATACATGCACCTTAAACTACTGAGAAAATCCTTTGTCCAGATTGTAATTCAATAGTACATATTTGTTGCAGTCGATAGAAGTTATACCTTAGTGGTCTATTATATTGAAGCATTTTAATTTCCACGTTAGCAATTACTCAGATGTTGCAAATATTTCAAAATTAGAAAATTGTTTATTAGAAAACTCGAAGTGTCATAACGTTTTAAAATATCATTAGAATATTGTAAAGGAAATAATTCAGTCAAAAGTAACTAAATAGTGCTTCAAGAGATAGGGAAATCTTAAATTAAAGTTTCGTGTAATATCACACAATATTTTATTAGTTTACGGACATTCGATGTCTTTAAATAACTCATAACCAAAACAAATTATTGACAAGGTATAATCATATTGTGGATGCCGCGGAAACAAATGATCTTTTGTGTAAATAGCCGCAATGTAATGTTGGTTTTCAAATCAAATCATTTGAGAAAGTAAGTTATGGGATGCAATTTTATTAAGAAAGTATTGAAAAGAAAAATGTTTTCCCCAGAAGTATATATATCATAAGATTTCAGTCTCAAGTATGCAAATTTAAAAACAACTTTATGATTTTTTTTAAATTTCTTTTTTGTACCCTTCATATTAAGAGGAAACTTAAAATATATTTACATTTGATAATTTCTTACTAAATATGTGCATCTCTCTTTTTGATTGCCAGTATTTATACAAAATGGTATGTCAATATATTTTGCAAAAAAAAAAATCAGAAATAGTAATATACCCTTGTTTCTGTAAGATTCAGAGCTGATGAGAGCTCTGCAACATCCATACTGCTTAGATAATGTGTGCGACCAAACTTCCGTTCTAAGCCGACCACTTGATGTTGTGTAAACGGAACACGTGGGTTTCGTCCTAACTTTCGTTTCTTGCTGCTTTCCTTTTTCCTTGTACCTGGTAAGAAAAAATGTTTGCACTGTTAAAGTATGCAGGATGGTCATTACTGCTATATAAGTAAGTACATTGTATCATTACAAATAACAGCTAGTTTTGACGGATATGCTCGGTCAAGAGATGGTCTGCATATGTAAAATTATATCCAGTATTTGAGTGCACTATTAAACTAATTTTCATTTATAAAAACTAGTTCTATAGCAAAACCTTCAAGATGTATGGATATTTATCAATTGTAAGTTATTACAGTCTTAATGAGTAGCTTTATTATCATTCTGAAGTTTAATAACTGTAAATTGAAATGGCAGCCTAATAGCACCTTCTCATGTTTATTATTTTGTATTATATTACGGTCCATGTAATTGCAATTTAAAGAACATTAAGTCTTAATTTCAACCACATGGCTCATTCAATTATCAAACGACAATGGGAAAATAATAATGATTAGATTAACAAGTACCATATTCCATGATATTGTTTTACCTAAATTATTAAAAGAACTGTCAAAAGATTGCATATTATAATTATGAATAATCCTAAGTTGAACACGAAACGCAAAAATTCACATCAGTTCGGTTTAATCTTAGAATTATAATCAAATAATGATATCTTGGAAATAAAACATGCTGCTCTCTTTCATATTTGAAATATAGAAATTGTATTAACTTATGTTTTCAATATAATATGGGAATCTTAATTATTACATTTTAAATGGTAATTTATTGAAATAAGTCGTTTGAAGGCGTATTTCTGAGATGTATGAATTAAAGTAATGTGAACAGTTGCGTAAATCAAGTATGGCAAACATTTGAAGACTGTCCGTATTCAATATTGTATTCTAGGGATAACCTCTTTATATTATTTTTATATTCACAATAGTATAATGTGTCAAGTTATTGTGTGAGCTGTAATTATATGTCCTTTGTTTCATCTGCTGGGAGCGTTACAGATGCTGCATCGTCCATCGTCTCCAATTAACAAACCAAGTTGGTTCACGTGTACATGTTCCATGATTATAATCCTTGTTTTCATTTGTCTGGAGTGACCTTTTAGTTTAGAATGATAGAGCCTGTACATGGACAGGAAGCCAAGGTAGGACACGATTAAGTAAGAATAGTTTTACCTTACATGTTATGATACATAGCATACAAAAAGTCGCCTTGATAAACCAACTGATTTACAAATCTTGACGACCGTATTCTTACGTATGTCATAATTGTACAATTTGACTTTTGTTTGGGAAACTTGCATTGTTGACATTTGCAAATAAGGAAAAAATGTTATTCTTTATGGCGTAGGCATTCTATTAATGGCAGGACCCTCGACATCAACCTAAACAAAATTGCAGACATAATTTAATTACTCTGTTTATGACTGAACATTTGGGGTTACATTTGCCACACCTCGTATTTCTTATGTAGCACTCTATGTAGTCTGAATGGTTGATTGGATAGAAAGTGACATCTTACAGCAGCAACAAGGCTCTTGTCACTACATGAAGGTAAAAAGTCCGAGTCGGAATTGTCCACGCCCAAACCTCATGTCGATTTACTGAAGCACTTTCTCTGTTTAATCTTATATTCCTGAACGTATTGACTTTTTTCTTGCTATATCGAGAAGCATTTAACAGCGAAAAATAAAGCAAAAAGCCGAAGGATACTGGCATATCTTTATCTTAGCTTAACTTCATCTTATGACGATTGTTTGTCCCAATTTTCTTATTGTTATAGTTTTTTTTATTCAGTAGTAGTCTCTATAGATATTTCTAGTTTTATTTCTCAATAAATCGTGATACTAGTATCAAATAAAAAATATTATAGTCAATGTCTTTAATCTATTATTTTTTCCTTGTATATTATGTACATGTATATATACATGTAGTTTACAATTACAGAAGACGCTATGTCGAGTTATTTATTATAAAGCATTTAAACAAAACACCATGCATTTTGTGCTAACAATGCCAGACAATTAATTTATTTCCATGCTAACAAGCCTATTGAAAGAGAATCGATAAGACATGATGAAACCTCATTTTGTATATTGACGTCACATCTGACGTTAAATGGCGATTACTTATATACAATACGGTACCTCGTAAAACAAAATATATAGTCAATCACGTGAACTAATTCAAGATATAAAGTATTCTGAGGAAAGGGCAAATATAGACATTTTTTGATGAAAAATAAATAGATATAAAACAAATTTAAGTATTTTCTATAAATACGGGATTTATTTTCATCGAACAATATGCTCGCCGGAGACTCGCATAAGCGTAAGAATACATAAAATGAATACATGTGTTGTCATTAGTAAAGACTTTGATTAAAAGAATTTCAGAAACTTGTATATACTATACCTAAGATATAAAAGATAATAACAAAGTACAATCTTGATCACGACTTTCAAACTTGTCCATTTTAATTTTGTATAGCAGTCCAAGAAAATGTAAAGACTCTCTAAAAATATACATTTAAGTAAAAATAATCGTGAAGTTTACACAACTAAAACAAAATATGTATAGATTTCATTGGACTGCTTTTAAACTGTTTTAGAGAAACATTTCATTCACCTTTATGAAAGAAACATTATATTTAAAATTTAGGAGTCAACAGAAAATTTAACTGTTAAACAGGTAAGAGTTCCAAAATCACAGTAGCAACATATTTACATAAGAAATAACTTTTGTGTATTAATTAAATTAGTTATCTCAACCATAGTTTTCATCTGAAAGTATAATGTGAAATGTATAGTGTATTATTAAGTGCTCTTAATTAAAGTTATCTTAGACACTAAATATGATTAGGATCCAATTTAAATCATATCTTTATCCCGAAATGCTTACATTACTTCCAGAGACAGTTAGTTTCCTCAAACATTAAACATATCTAACCTTTCAACAAACGAGGGTTGGTCAATCTGTATTGCAATATACTCGTAAAAAAGCAATGTACATATTTTACTTGATTTTGTTTCAACCCTTTAATATATAATCCACAGAAACACAAAAATTCAGACATTTTATCAAGTCTTTTGTTTTCTTTAAGGTATATCGTATACCGTTAAACAAATGAAAGATTCAAGCCATTCTCTACTCAAATAACGGCGACCTGCAAGATCTTTTCTTTCAGTTCTGGAAAGAGTAAAATGTTCCAGAGTGTCACATATGGCAAATGACACATTTTATACGTTCCTTTTACTGGTAAGTAATACATGCAAATGGGGCAACCAATCGGGTGGTGATTCGTTAAGCATCCAATAGTCTTCTTTCACAATCGTATAAATCGACCCTTTTGGAATCTCTACAATATGGGCTATTTGATAAACTGATATCTTTGTCAATGATAAACTTAAATTAATGAATTTTTTATTAAACTTAACAGCTAAATGTTTTCTGTCGGACTTGCGTGCGTCTTCATACGCCGCTTTTCATGGAATGGCACGGAAGTGTCACATTGAAGGTTCCATGATAACCGCCGTATGAACACATCTGCGGATGTTTCTAAATTCTAAATTTTACTATTTCATGTTTAAATGTTGAATTCTGCTTAAGCCGGTGCTAGGGGGCGTGGACGGTAACTTGCACTTTCCAGTACCGTCCATGAACAGGCTCAATCAAACCGAGCCTGCAACATTTTCAATTTTGCCGTGTTGGGCTTTCTTTAGGGATTCTATATTTATCTATTTTCAATTGACCCCCTTCCATTTTTGTATGTATGTATCCATCTTGTAACAGCTTGAAAACAATTCTCTACTTCTCATTATTTTCATAGATAATTCAAATATTACTTAGTGTATTAGTAAAAAGCTAAACATTCCAAAATTTGACCTTCCACGCAACTCTGTTTTTCAACACTTTAAAAAGAATGTGTACACTAATTTTAGATTAAAATTAATACATTTAATAAAAGACAATATTAGGTATTTGGTATCATGGTACAAAGTGTGATTTGAAACACATTATGGTCAAGTCGAGTCAGATACTTTATTGGCAAGAATATATACATGTTCATCGCCAAGTAGCTTTTTGGCGGTACAATACAAAGTACAGAAAGGTATGATACATTATACATTATACATATACATATGTTCCAGTGTACAATAATTCAAATAAATGTATAAAGTAGATTCATTTCTTAGTTCCATCGCTGAAGATAAAAGCTTTGCTAAGTTGACAATTTTACTTTTTGTTTGTACATTTCATTATTGATACAATCTATTTAAAATCAGCTCTAAATAACGTTTCGCTTTTAGATCTAACCGTGACCATATACGAAATCATTTCTGGTGACCTTTCACACAGCAAATCATCGGCGAGCTTTCATAATTTTGAAAGCGATGTCTAATTTTAACCCTGGGAAAACCAATACTGAGTAGGTTATTTTCACGATTTCGAGAACAAACATGGCGTTGTCCATATAGCCGACAAGTAAACTGGCAAAACAATCTTGCCCATTAAAAATTGACACTATTATTTCAAGTTGATTTATTACAAATTACTTTAAACATTTTTTTGTAACAAAAATCAACAATTTGTTTAAATTCCGCGGATAACGGTAATTTATTACTTCTTCTAATGCCTAGTAAAAACCGAATTGATTGCATCGCTAAAAATTACTTTCTCGGGAAATCCGAATTATAAGAAGGAGAAACATATACAGTGTCGTCATCAGATATACATAAAAGAAATAAGTAGATCTGAACTTTAGTTAGATTGATATTTATATGAATTTATATAAATTAGGCCACGAACAATAATATCTAGGTAAACATAATGTTTTTTGTCAAGTCATTATAATATTGACATACTTGTTTCAATTTGTTTCATATATTGCATTTTGTACAGAAACGTTGGTTTATTTCAATATTTCCATTTCTACCCTCTTCAAACATTGATGGCATCTAAATTCTAATGATGTTTTAAATTATTAACACAACTTAAATATTTCTCCTTGGTAAATTCAACTTTAAATAAATTATAACTTTCTAAATTAGAA